CTGCAGAGGTTTGTTCATAGTAACACTCTTTACTACTGCTGCTGATTTTTTAAAAACATGTGCAGCAGCAAACAGATTAATGTAATGAAGCCATGTACCCACCACCAGTTCCAGCAGCTGCCTGCCAGAGACCGGCCCGTCTCCCCCGAGCCCCTACCCCTGTCCTTCTTCCCTGTTTTATGTTGGATTAAGTGTCAGATACTTTTTCATTTTATCTATAAATAGAACAATGTGATGCTCTATAAGCTTTTTAAAAATCACTACTGCAATATCACACATAAAGATTTAACAGGTTTTAGATCATCAAATCTAGTCAGTGTTCAAATTTTCAATTGTCCAATAATTTTAAAATTTAGGGTATGTTTGTATGAATCAAGATCAAGATCTGAAAGTTTACATGTGGAGATTGGTTGATTTCACTCATTAAGTCTCTGTTAACCTAAAGATTTCCTTCCGCCTCTTTTTTCCTTTTCCCCTTGAAACTTATTTGTCAAAGAAATGGTCGTTTGACCTGCGGTTTCACACAGCGAGGACTCTGCTGAGTGTGTCCCCACAGTGCCGTTTAGTCTGTGTTCCTGTCTTCCGCGCTTTTGGTGATTTGGTCGTTGGATCGAGAGAGGCTTTATTAGACCCAGTCTGTTTGCTTTTGTCAATATCGTGTTGTATTTGTCCGTCTGGTATGTCCCTTTTTGTATGTTTAGCAGCCTTTGATGACTCTTGCCTGGGTAGATTCATTGATCAGCTGTTGCGGAAGGGGGCTGTCGTTCCTTCGTTGGCTGGAATATGTCTAAGAAGAGAAAGTCCCTCCCGTCCGTTGAGTCCCAGTGGCCCAGTGTGTATTGGAAAGGCGTCAGATGCGTGAATCTTCCTCTGTGTTTAATGGTTTTCAAAGTAATTAGTTCATAGAGTCCCCCAGTGGTGACCCGTTTTAAACAATTAGGTATTTACTCTTTTAGAGCAGTTACGTGCTGACAGAAGAATTAATCAGGAAGTGCAGAGCTCCCACCGCCTCCCTCTCCTCCCCCGTAGTCTCCGCTGTCACTTACATCTCGTGTTAGTGTGGTGCATGTGTCTCGGTCGGTGAAGCAACGTTGACCCCTGTCATTGCTGAGGTCCGCAGCGTACCTTTGTCTTGTAGGCACATTCTGCTGGCTTTGACAAATGCAAGACGACGTGTGTCCGCCATTGTGGCGTCCTGCACAGTGGTTTCCCTGCCCTAAAGCTCACTGTGCTCCACCCGCTCATCTCTCCCTCTCCCTCCCCTCCAGCCCACGCAGCACTGGTGTTTTCACTGTTCCTGTACCTCTGCTTTCTCCAGAATGTCATATGGTTAAACTCACGCAGTATAACCATGTCAGATTGCCTTCTTTCACTTAGCAATATGCATTTAAGATCCTTCCATGTCTTTTTGTGGCTTGACAGCTCATTTCTGTAGTGTTAAATAATATTCTATTGTATGGATGTACCAGAGTTTATCCATTCACCTGTTGAAGGACATCTAGGTTGCTTCCAAGTTTTGGCAATTATGAATAAAGCTTCTGTAAACATCCATGTGCAGGTATTTGTGTGGACACAAGTTTCTAGTTCCTCTGGGTAAATACCACGAGCACAGTTGCTGGATCATATAGTGAGAGCTTTAGTTCTGTAGAAACCACCAAGCTGTCTTCCAAGGCGGCTGCACCATTTTACATTCCCCCCAGCAGTGAATGAGGTTTTCTGTTCCTCCGTATTCTCACCAGCGTTTGATGCTGTCAGTGTTCTGGATTTTTACCATTCTCACGGGTGTGTGTAGTAGTCTCATTGTTGTGACCTATTATTTTTTAATTAAACTTTTTATTTTGTGATAATTATAAATACGCAGTTGTGAGAAATAATACGAAGGAATCTAGTTAATGTGCTCCTTACTCACATCACCCAGTGGTAATACCTTTAAAAGTTATAGCACAGTGTCACACTCAAGATACAAATATCGACATGAGATACAGAGCACTTCCCTCACCATGGGGACCCCTCTGATTGCCGCCTTATAGCCACACCCACCTCCCTCATGCCTTTGCCTCTCCCTAACCACTGGCAGCCACTATTCTGTTCTCGTTTTCAGTAATTTTGTCATTTCAAGAATGTTATATAAATAGAATTACACAGTACATAATCCTTGGGGATTGACTTTTTTCGCTCAACTTTTTGTCCAGAGGCTTATCAAGGTTGTTGCATGTATCAATTCACTCCCTTTTAATTGCTGAGTAATATTCCACAGTTTATTTAAACAGTCACCTGTTGAAGATCTTCTGGGTTGTTTCTAGTTTTGGGCTATTACAAAGCTCCTATAAACATTCATTTACAAGTTGTTTTTGAGCATAGGTTTCATTTCTGAGGCATAAATGTATGGTAGTTGTATAGTAGTTGCATATTCAGTTTTATAAGAAACTTCCCACTGTTTTCCAGAATGGCTGTACCATTTCGTACAGCACCAGCAATATATGAGTTTCTCTGAAACCTTGCCAGCATTTGATGTTATCACTGTTACTTAATGTGTATTTATTTTAAAGTGCACACTTCAGTGGTTTTAGTATATTCATGAAGTTTTACAACCATCACACTCTCTAGTTCCAGAATCTCATCACCCCAAAAAGAAGTCCCCTACCCACTGGCAGTCCCTCCCGAGTCATCTCCCCCAGCCACTAGCAGCCACTAATCTGTGTCGTGTCCCTGCGGATTTGTCTCTTCCGGACACTTGGTTTGATCACACAATATGTATTCCGTCGTGACTGGCTTCTTTCACTTCACGTGATGTTTCGTCCATTCTGTAGCATGCATCAGTGCTTCGTTACCTGCTACGGCTGAGTACTGTTCCATTGTGTGGTATACCACGTTGTGTTTGTATATTCATCGGTTGACAGACATTTGGGTTGTTTTGGCTTTTTGACTATTTCCAATAATGCTGTTACTGATATATATGTATATATTTTTTGTGGGCATATGTTTTACATTCTCTTGGGTGCACACCTAGGAGCAGAGTTGCTAGCTCATGTGGTAACTTTATGTACAACTCTTTGAGGGGCTTCCAGACTTCTCCAAAGGAGTGAACCATTTTACATTCCTGGTAGCAATGTATGAGGGTTTCAGTTTCTCCACATCCTCCCTGACTGTTGTCAAAGTCTGTCCTTTTTTAGCCTAGCAGTCCTTGGGAGAGTAAAATGGTGTATCTCTGTGGTTTTGACTTGTATTTCTCTAATGTCCAGTGATGTCAAGCACCTTTCAATGTGCCTATTCACCATTTGTGCATCTTCTTTGAAGGAAAGTCTATTTAGATCCTTTGCCATTTTAAAGTTGGGTTCTTGTCTTTTTATTATTGAGTTGTAAGAATTCTTTACGTACTTTGAATACTGGCTCCTTATTAGATTTATAATTTGAAAATGTTTTCTTTCTGTCTTTTGTCTTTTTACTTTTTTAACAGTATCATTTGCAGCACAAAAGTTTTAAATTTTCATGTAGTAAAATTTCTGCTTCCTTTGGCTATTTGCACTTTGGTGTTGTATCTAAAAAACAGCTGCCAAATCCAAGATCCCTCGTTCAGTATGACTGGTGTGTCCTTACAGGAAGGTAAAAATGCCGTGTGAAACCAAAGACGCAGAGAGAGTACCCTGTGATGGTGGAGGCCGAGAGCCGAACGCCAGGGACCAGCAGGCACCATCGGAAGCTGGGACGAGGAGAAGGAAGCTTCCACCCAGGGTCCCGGGGTGGGCGGCCCTGCTGACACCTTCATTGTGGAGTTTTAGCCTCCAAAACCGTGGCAATAAACCTCTGTTGTTTAAAGCCAGCCAGTTTGTGCAACTTTGTTATGGAAGCCCCAGAAAACTGAAATAGTCATGGTGTTTAGTTTTTTAAAATATCTTGTTTAATTCTATATGCTAATATTTATTAAGGATTTTTGCATCTATATTAATGAAAACTATTGGCCTATGGTTTTCTTTCTTTCTCTTTCTCTCTCTCTCTTCCTTCTTTCCTTCCTTTTTCTTTCTTCCTTCCTTCCTTTCTTTCTTTCTCTCTTTCTCTCTCTTTCTTTCTCTTTCTTTCTTTTCCTTGTCCTGCCCTTGTCCAGTTTTCATGTCAGCATCATCAAATATTAGCAACATGAGATTAATCAGGGAGTGTTCCTCTTTCTTCTATTTTCTGGAAGAGATTGTGTGAGTTGGTGTTAACTCTCTTAATATTTGGTGAAGTTTCTCCAGTGTATCCTTAGTTTTCCCTTGTCTGAAAACATCTTCATTTCCCCTTCATTCCTAAAGGATACTTCTTTTGCTGGGCGCAGCTTTCTGGGTTGATAGTTTTTTTCTTTCATCACTTGGAAAATGTTGGACTACTTTTTCCTGCCTCCATGGTTTTTGATGAGAAACCCACTGTCGCTTGTTTTGTCTTTTCTTAGTGGTAAGATGTCACTTCTCTCTCACTGCTTTTCAAGGGTTTTTCTTTGATTTTAATTTCCAGAAGTTTACCTACAATATGTCTTGATGTGGATTATTTTGGATTTATCCTATTTGGAATTTGTTCAGCTTCTTGAATCTATAAGTTTATGCTTTTTTCCAAATTCAGAAAGTTTTCATCCATTATTTCTTTGAATACTGTTTCAACCCTACTTTCTTCTCTCTTTCTAGGACTTCAGTGACATGCATGTTAGATCTTTTATTGTAGCACCCTAGGTCCTGGGGCTCTTTTCATTTATATTTTCGGTTTATTTTCTCCTTATTATCCAGATTGGGTTGTTTCTATTACTCTGTCTTCAAGTTTACATATTCTTTCCTTTGTTCCCTCAATTCTTACGTTGAGACCATTCACTGAACTTTTTGTTTCAGTTTTTTTGTTTTCAGTCCTAAAATTTCCATTTGGTACTCCTTTGTATCTTCTAATTCTTTACTAAGACTATTTCTTTGGGGGGAGTTTATACTTTTTCATTTACATCAAGCATGTTTGTAAAGCTCATTGAAGCATTTTCACGATGGCTGCTTTAACATCTTTGTCATATAATTGTAACGTCCCTGTTGTCTCGTTGTTGGAATCTGTTGATCGTCATTCCTGCTGAGTTGGTGGGGAAAGCCCTGACTCTGCTCAGCGTGCTTTGCCGTCACTACACTGGTGAGCAGGAAGGATGGCTTATTACTGCTGATAGAGATGGAAGTGCAGGCTCTCCGTGTGGCCCCCACTGACGCGTAGTGCAGGACTCAGTGTACCCGTCAGGACGGAAGTGCTGGCTCCCTCCTCAGCCTTCTCTGTCACCATCCTGCTGGGGGCAGCATGCCTGCTTGGTTTTTGCAGGTGGAAGTGGTTGGGTTGGAGGTCGCAGTTTTTCTGTGGTGTTTCGCTGGAATAGAGTGGTTTCTGTCTAAACATTTTCTGTAGTGTTAGCCTGCCCCTTCCCAGATCCTTCAGCTAGAGAAAGTGGCTTCTGTTGGGTTTTTACGTATGTGCCTCTCCTGTGTCTGGGTCGTCAGCTTCTTTAGCTCCGAGTCTGGGATGTACGAGGCAGAAGAAAGAGACCTGGAGAGGGCCCCGCCACCTTGCTTCCTGGGCTCAAAGTCTCTGGCCCGTACGCCTGCTTGTTTTCCTGCCTTTTAGGGTCTCCTTGTGTCTGTTTTGTGTATCATGTCCCGGGGTTTTCAGTGTGTTTAGGAGTTTGTACTTTATCCTAAAGGTAGAAAGAATATTTTGAAGGAGTTTAGGCATCTTTAACAAGTCATTCTCGTTGGCTGCAGTGCAGATAAAGGGTACGAGGGAACAAGACTGGAAGTAGAGGCTAGTTAGGAGCCTTACAGGAATCTGGTGAAAGGTGATGATTCCTGGATTTGGATGGTAATAGAGGAAGTAGAAATAAGGAGCTGGATCTGAGAGGTGTTTAGGAATTAGGAATCAACAGAACTTGGTGATTGGTGTCCAAGACAAAGAAAGAAGTCAGCAGTGACTTGTGTTTCTGACTTGAGCCATGGGGTGCATGGTAATGTACTTTGTTTTTTTAATAGCATTTGTCACAATTACAATTTTATAGTTATTTGTATAATTATTTATTTAGTGTTTGCCTCCCTTCACCAGACTAAGTCTAGGGGAGAGGGGGCCATGAGAGTTTTGTTCACTGCTGTAAACTTAGTGTTTAGCACAATGTCTGGCCTGTAATTATATGCTCAATAAATATTAACACATTACAGTATATTTAAGAAGAAGCACACTTGTGGGCGAAAGGATTTTGGAAGTGCTATCTTTTAATACATTAGATTTAAGATGCCTATGAGACCTAGCCCAGTTAGAGAGCCCAGCCCACGCACTGGCCTAGCACTTAAGAGATAGTGGTAAGTAAGAACCTGGGAGCTACTGCGTATAGATGGAAGTGTAAGCCGTCGAAGCAGAGGGAGTCTGTACAGTGGGCGGAGAGGAGAGGAAGGCCTAGAACGGAGGCCTGGGGACTCCAGCTTAAAGAGACACGTGAGGAAGAGGAGCCCCTGAAGCAACGGGGGAGAGAGCAGAGCAGCAGGAGGCGCACCGCACCGGGAGCGGAGCGGGAGCCGAGGGCTTGCAGGAACAGGGGAGCCAGCCCTGCTGCGACTGAGGGAGGAGACGAGACGCAGAAGGAAAACCAGCTGCTCAGTTACAGCAAAGACGGTTTGGGTAGAAGTGTCGGTGAGCAAGGCATGTTGGAAGATAAGCTGAGGTAAGAAAATGGAGATAGAAATGCAGACAGTTGTTGAAATATTTAACTGACTAGAATGAGAGAAGAAGGTGGTATCTGGAGGGGAAGTTTTCGGTATTTTCAGGCGGATGAGACTGAATCACGCTCAGGAGCCGATGAGAAGCAGCGAGCAGGAGGGGACAAGCTGAGGATGAAGAGGAAAGGTGAGAGGTGCCGTCGGGAGCGGCGCAACGCAGAGCACTGGGTGGAGCCGCTGATGTCTCTGCTGCGGTGGAAGGAAGGGGAAAGAATGGGCTCAGATAAAGGGGGACTTTCAGGTTTGGTAGCAGAAAATCGAGCGAATTCCAGATTGTAGCTGCTTTTTTTCCAGTGGCGTAAAACACATGTTGCTATTGAGTGAGTCAGAAGGTTTAAAAGGGATGGTGTACGTGAAGGGACCAGTCGTGGTAAGCGCTCCCTACGTGAAAGCTCTGTGTTGTAGCTTTGCAGAGGCTTCGTGTGATCACTGGGACCAGTGCAGCACAGCGTGACTTGAGAGCATTCAGAATGTCTCCTTTACATTCTGGGGAAGTGCATGAGACCCTGTCTTGAGAAAATGTGTACATTGGACTAAAGCACTGTAAGGCACTGCTTTATCTATTTTATTGTTTCTGTTTCGGTGGAATGCTTTGTTCTAGATTGAAGCCAATGTCTACTTGATTTCGGACTGTTCCTGTTTAAACCCCCTTTGATGTTCCCGTGGACCGAGCCTTGACTCTGGCACCAGCTCTGACTGCGCAGGAGGAACTCGAGCAGCACTTTGGGCCTTGGCGTCGGTCACGCTGACGGGCCTCACGGACCAGCCTTGGCCTTGTGCCCCAGTCCTGCGACCTGGGTCTCCTGCTGCTCCTGAGACTTCACTCTTGCCTCAGGAATCAGGGTCCGGGGCCCGAAGCCCTGGCTGAGCAACCCGCCACCCTCCCTGCTGCTCTGGCCCCGCTTCTCGGGGGCTAGGGTCTTGCTGGATCCTGCCCTGGGGCGTCGGCACTAGTGGGCTTGCCTGGTGCTTCCTGCCTCTGCGAGTTGCCTTCTCCTACGTCACTGATTGTTCCGCTGTGGTCCTCACGCCAGCAGCGCGAGCGTCACCCAGGGACTTGTCAGAAGGGCACGTAATCGGACCCCACACTGAGCGTCTCCGGTTTGGTGGTTGGGAGTGTATCCTAGCTGTCTGTGTGGTCCTGAGCCCTCCGTGGTTCTGATGTGTGATGAAGTCTGAGAGCCAGCACGCCACAAGGACCTACAGCTTTCCAGGGCATCAAGCTACAGTGAGAAGTCACTGAGAGCACGCTTTCTCTCCGCACGCTCGGCCTGGTGAACTGCACCTCCCGCAGGGACAGCTGCATCTGACGCTCGCTGCCCGTCACGGGGCTGTGAGCTGAGTTCCGTGTTGGCTCCTGCCGGCCTGCTCAGTCCTAGTTGCCCTCGTGTAGAATTGGGAAGGTTGCTAATATGTGGTTAGAGGTTTGATAGACGAAGTCTGCACATGTCTTAAGTCTCCTCAAATAATACAGTCACAAATCAATCCGTGCTTCTCATTTTGAAGAACCGCCTTCAGTGGACAACTGTTGGGCAGTATGTTGCATTTTGCTTTGCAGAAGGCATGAAAATGATCATTTCTGATTCGAAAATGAGATAAAAGCCCTTGGGCCAGGGGTGTTGCTGTTCTGGTTGTAGCTGCTGGCCCCCTGGGGGCTCCGAGCAGGGCTGCAGCCGGCGGTGGCGGCCGTTGCTGCGGCCCCGCTGTCGCCGCCTCTGTTGTTGGCGGTGGTGTCCGGCTGTCGTTACCCTGGTTCTGGTTGCAGGCACCACCTCCGCTGCAGTTGAAGCCTCCTCCGTAGTTGCCTCCTTCACTGCTGCCTCCTCCTCGCTTCTGGAAGCTACCTTGGGTGCCTCTGGTGGACCTCGGTCGTCATATCGCTGGAAACCACCGCCACCCCCGCAGCCCCAGAAGCCACTGCTGCCCCGGCGGTCGAGGTGCGTTTCGGGGGTGGCCCAGCCCGCTCCCTCCTCACCGTGCTGCCTCTCCCCCTGCTACGGGAGCGTTTCTCTTGATGTCACCCCTAAAGGGGGGTGACCGCTGCCTTCCTGCAGCGCAGGGTCACATGAAGATCGGACCCAATGACCGCAGGCTCGTGGAGGCTTTTGCTGACTGTGAAGCTCCATACCCGCAACGCCCGGGTCAGGTGGGCGCGTGGCTCTCAGTGAGGGAGTCGCCCCTCCGCTCGGCGGGGGCGCCTCCCCCGCCCAGACTCAGGGCCTTGCCTTCTCCTCCTCTCTTCCTGCTCCTCTGTTTGCGCAGCTCAAGCCAGGCTGGGCTTTCCTGACTCGCTCCTGAATCCCGTCCAGACCCACCTTCCTTATCCTTCCCCCCCGTGCTTTCAGATTCTTAGCTGACCTTTTAACTTTTCTATAGAAACTGGAATCTTTCTGGTATTTCCGTCTTACACTGGAACTGCCCCCTCCCCGGATCTGCTGGAAGTCTCATGTGGCGCGCAGACCGCTGCCGAGCCCGCAGGAGGTCTGACGATCTTGCCGTCTGGGGTCGGGTCTCTTCCTGTCTTCCTGCACCACACACATGCAAGCTTCCTGCCTCCCAGAGCATCCTGTCACGTTGCTGCTCTCAAATCACGCTCTCGCCCTTCGACAGACCTCATCCTGTTTCCTCACTGACCTCACGACATTCCATTGGCGTGATCTGCTGGTCCCTTGGTAGCCCTCTGAGTGTCTCCAGCTGCTGGGCTCTCGCCCAGACTTCTGAGGAATTGGACCTGCTGCTGGTGCCGAGAGCTAACATGCAGGGAGCTGCCAGCGGGACTTGTGCCTGGGACACCGTGGTCCAGTCATGGCAGGCCCCCCGGGAGGCCCTGCTCCCTACCGGGTCCCCGCAGGAGCCCTGGGAGAGGGCTTGATGAGCACGGACCCCCAGGGTCCAAGTAGGGGGACCAACCGTCCTGACTGGCCCGGGGCCAGGGGCTTTGCAGGACACGGGACATTCTGTGCTAAACGGGGAAAGTCCTGGTCGCCCCAC